TTGTGCAGATGCTTGTGTAAATTGCAATGCCTTTAACTTGACAAATAGGAGCAATGAATATGCATATTTTGTTTTAGTAGTTGGAGATGTAATAGACTACTTGTATTAATAAAAGTATATATGTATTGTAACTTATTATATTAAATGACTCGATCTCATAATCTTAGAATTGAAAGTGAGAGATATTTACCATTCGAATAACTCTCCATTTCGTCTAATTTAAAGATTAGAGAGAGAAATGAAAAACTGAGATTTTATGTTTGTAAACGTGGATATAATTGAGAATGATTGAGTAATAAAAAAGTTATTTACATATCAAAACACATAATATATGCATTGATTTGTCTTATCCTAATGACAAGTGTGGACAAACAAATGAAAAGAGAGAAAACGAGGAAAGAGCTTGACAACATTAACTAACCAAAAAGGAAAAGCTTAGTTTGAAAAAGTTTTTTTATCAAAGAAGTGGTTTTAGAAATTAAAAAAGAAATGGTAACAAAATTAATTTGTATCTGCTAATAAAATTTTAAATCACTTATATGAACGAGGATTATGTTTGATCAAATCTTTTAAAAGTATTTTTTTGAAAAAATTTGCTTTCCAAAAAAGTTTTTTTTGAATAATCACAAATTTTTAACCTCTTAAAAGTTTGATAAAAAAAAGGATCGCAATGGGGCGGGTGTGCTGTGGGCAGAAGCTTAACTCACAAAATTAAAATCAATCCTACTTAATATGTTTTTCAATTCTTAACTCACATCGCTCTACCCCGTAAAGATCCGCTCCACCCCAACACTTATGTTATATTTATTTATTTTTCTTTTTTTTATTATGTAATTTTCTAAAAGTAGTAGACAAATTTAACATTTTCAACAATGTCTAATTTGATTATTTCTCATTTGTTATGTTAAAACACATCAATTAAACAGTTTCTACTTTCTACACCTCTAGGTGGCTTTGTCTCATAATTAAATTGAAATTTATTTATAAATAAATTCAATTTAATTTCTTGTACTAAAACTCATTAGAAAATTTGATTATAAAATGGTACATTTTTTAAAAAAACTTAGACAAAGAGTGAAAGACGGTAACAAATAGCAATTAAAGAGACGAAAGTAGAGAGAGTGGAAATTTTCAACCCGTCACCCGCCTCGCCCTGCTTAATTTATTAAAAAAAACTAGTTCAACCTCCGCTGCCCCTGCTTCACATAGACTTATATCTATCCTGCTCCGCAATCGTCTCACCCCACTGCCATCCCTAATCAAACAGAGTATTGAAATGAAAACGCAAATAGTATATTAAGGCAACAGAGTATAGGCTTTTTTTTTTTTTTGGAGAGGGGGGGAAGGGGGTGGGTAAAAGTTACATAAATACTAAGATGTTTTTTACATTTACTCATAAACGTTACAGTTGTTCATATGCTCTACTATCTTTTAAGTAATTTCATTCTAATTTTGATATATTCTACCTTTTCTTATTTCATGTACTTTAATAAACAATGAAGGATATATAAACATTGATTCAATCTAATGGAATGTGGCAAATATATGATAATTTATAAATTTCGATGCAGATGGGGTTTTGATAATAATTAACAATTTTTCTATAATTGAGGTCATTAAATTTGATACTAGATTTGATATGAGTTATATTTAATAAAATTAACTGATCTCAACTTTGTATCTATTAATATTAATAGAATGAAGAATATGGTATTAATAATCTTACGCCAATATCTCCTCATACGATTATAAAATATATATCCAATATTAGTTGTAACTTTTAAAATTATCATTTTTGTGTTTGTGTGATTTTCTCAATACAATTAAGAAGAAAAAATAATTTATTTTTCATTTTTCAATCAATATTTAATATTAGTGTTAGAGTTTGATTAATTTAAATTTGTTGACATAGGACTATATTTAGAGGAAAGCATCCCTGCTAAAAAAAATTAAACTAAAATTGGGAAAAAATAACTAAATGTTTGCTTTTGGTGAAAAAATGGGAAAAAATAACTAAATGTTGGCCACAATCCACCCAAATGGTCGATACAATGTTACCAATATGAATATATTATTATTACCAATTATGTTTGTATTCTAAATTTAATGTATTACCCCTAATATATGGTAAGAAGAATATAAAAGTTTTGATAACGAACGAAAATCTCATGGTTAAAATGTAGAACTTATAAGTTTCATGACTTTAGCCATAACTGAATATGTAATTGTCATTTAATAAAATTTGTTAATAATAATGTGTTATTGGTAAAAAAAGTTATTTTCGGAATTAGCTGTAAATATGAATCAGATAAGAATATACTAACAATAAAAAGTTGCAGTTAAAAATTATTTATTAAAATTAAATTGTTGGTGCCATTTATATAAATTAACCAACATGAATATTATGATTTGGTAAAAATACGTTGCAAATTAGAATTCATACTTTGTTGTATTATAATTTTTTAAAAAGCTTTTAATTAATTACCAACAAGGGGTTGCTCATAAGCAGTAAACACTTTCCAGCCCTCTATTTTAAATCGTACGGTTATAAATTCGAATTACCAAGAATGCAAAATAGTGAAAACTAAGATAATATATATTAATATTAACAATTCTGTCCACGGTAACAAACCATTAATAGGTCATAATCAATTTATTCGTTGGAGTCTTTGTTAGTGCACTTCCTATGTTTATTTTTAATTATTATCATATTGTTTTTTTTTAAAGTTAATTTGATTAATTTACAAAGTAAAATTAGATTATATTAATTTAATATTTTAAATAAAAATAAAAGATATTCAAAAACTATACTAAAAAAATACTATAAATTGTAACTTTTTACATATATATTAATATGCATAATAAAATGAAAATCAAAATACCTATTATTTGACTCTAAAAAAAAATCATTACAAATAAAAGTGGACGAAAATAGTAAAATTTTCATTTTCTAAAACATATTTATTAGAGGTAATAAGTTCTTTCATTTTGTGGGATAAAAATATTTAGAGAATTTCTCCCTTCTCTATTTTATATAATAATATTCTTTTATATTGATTTTTTTTCTCTATTTAATCTTTGGTAGTATATGTGCTTCTAATAAGGACTCATTTTAGCAGATGCAATAAACGTGATAAAATAGCTAATTGATTGATTACGTATGATATTTTAAGTTCAAACTTTAATTACCAATGATGGTACGTAAAACGTACTTACTTAATTATTATTATTAAATTAATAGAAGCAACTTAAATTTTGAGGGACACAACTCACAAGTGTTCCATACTCCACATAACTTAAATTTTGAGCTAAATTGAAGTATTCATATATGTTTAAAATTGCGAGTTCACAAGTTTACGTATAGTAATCTTAAACTTTTTACATTATTTTATAAGTGAATCGATTTATCTTAAATTAGTAGGTTGCCAATAATTTTTAACATAATCACTACTGAATCGATTGTCTGGAATTTTCGATATTATTTTTTTGATTGAATCGACCAACTTGAAGTCTCCGCACAATTTTTGACTAAATAAACACTGAGGTGGTCATCTCAAATTCTCTATGTTATTTTTTACTGAATAAAGTATTGAAACAGTCATCTTGAATTCTTCGTACTGTTTTTAATTGAGTTGGTCCACCTCAAATTAAATACTTGCACTATTTTTCTACTAAGTTACCCCACTTCTAATTTTCTACCTATAGTAATTTTTTAATCGAGTATTCTTATCTCAATCTAAAATTTTACTTAGTATGTTTTTTTTGGAGGAATTTGGTTTAAAAATTGACCCACTTTCATTTGAGTGAAATCATAATAGCATATTTAATATAATTTGATGAATGAGCTTTGACGATACAAACATTTTTATTTTTGAGCTTCCGGAGATTTTTAATTCGTTTACAAAAAATTATTTTCTAATTCAAAATGTTCCATGAAAGAAAGAAAAACAGCTTGCGATTTCATATTTTTTATTAATTATGCCAATTAACAGTTATAAAGTTAAAATAATATCCACAACACAGTAAATCCAAATACCCTTATATATAATACGACTTCATTGTAAATAAACCTATCTTATAAAGGTAAATAAACTTACATTTTTTACTATTGCAATATCATGATATTATTCATATATTTTGAAAATAAAATATTTCTATTTTTTAAACAATAAATATCTTACACAAATTAAAGAAACGTGCACTGAAGAAAACAAATTCAAAATAATAAAAAACAGAAGAGTAAGAAACCAAACAAAAATAGAAAATGAAAATTTCATATACATTATATATAAAATAAAATATTTTAAAATATAACTCGCCCACACGTTCATAATGCAAGAATTGACTAAACTAGTATTTGATGCATTTTTTAAATTTTATAAAATGTCTAAAATTATTTTTAGTTGTGAATAATTTTTTTTTTAAAATAGTATTATTTCTAAACTTCTTTCACACTATCAAATCTATATGAAATCTTTTGTATTTTAATCATTCTAAGGCTTCAAACTAATATTTATGGAGTACATACATTATTCAAGGTAGTTAAGTGTATAATTTTAAAACTATAAGGGGATATCTATAACTGGAGTAATAAATACATGGGTTCAAGTGTAACAATAAATAAGATTAAAAAGATAAGAGTTTCTCGATCATCTATTAAAAGGAATAAATTAGTTATTCATTTAATTATTTAGGTAGAAATTTTTCAAGTTTTAAAATTAGGTAAAAGTGACAAATAATATAAATTAGATTTGACGATATTTTTCTCAATATTTCTAAACTTTTAACTTTTACAATTTAATTCAATAACTGTCATAGTCATTTCATAAATTCTTTAGCTCTCAGACAACTTTAATAATTGTCTAAATGAAATAACTACTATAGATGTTCTTAGTTTACTCTTTATATTAATATTTGCAATAAAAATAAATAAAAGAGAGCCACTTATGTTTATTTAATTAAAATACTATCTTTTTTTAAATTAAATAGCATAAGACACTTTTAACTCATTTTTTCGAAATAAGGTTTGGTGGGTTAATTCTTCCTTCTTCTAGGGTTTTAGAATTTTGAGGTTCCTCTTTGAATCTAAACTAAAACCCTAAAATCCTCTGTGTATCTAAGCATTGCAAATTAAGGCACAGAGAAGCACAAAGTACAATCAGAGGTATCAATTCAACAATTTGCTCTCTGGGTTTGCTGTATTACTTTAATTCTACTCTGTTGAAACTATCTTTTGCTGAAGAATTGTCATTAAATGTGATATTTCTAATGTAATTGTGTATAATATGAATCACCATTGAAGGTTTCTTTGAAGATATTGTATCAGAATCTTTTGTTGCTAACTTGAGATGCTAGTAATTCGGAAAGTCCGAAAAAGTGTATCTTGGATAATGATATCTCACCTCAATCACCTATTTGTTACTCCAATTTCTGAAAACGGTTCCACTTCTCATAGTCTCCAGAAATTTTCGTCATTAAATATTAGATGTTTTCGTAGTTCAGATAATGCTAAGGTTGAAGTCCCTGAATTGTCAACTCAGACACCCATTTCCCCTGCTGTCAATAAAATATCACGGGTTGCAAGAAATGATGGACAAGCAGTACTCTTTGAATACTTGCATTGTACAAGAGGTTTTAATTATGTAGATGCTGAGCATATTAGCAAGAACTCACCTTGTTTTCTTCAAAGCCTGCTGTCCAAGGTTGATAATGATCAAGATGTAACAAGGGCATTGACCCGTTACTTCAGGTACCATCCGATTAATGAGTTTGAGCCTTTTTTAGAGAGCTTGGGGTTGAAGCAATCTGAGCTTACATCTATGCTTCCACGAGATTTAATATTTTTGAGTGATGATCATCTCTTGTTTGATAATTATCATGTTCTTTGTTATTACGGCATCCCTCGCACTAAAATTGGAAAGATTTATAAGGAAGCGACTGATATATTTGGATATGACCATGGAGTATTAGATATGAAATTGAGGGCTTATGAGAAATTGGCTTTGAGCAGATCAACAGTTATAAAGTTGGTGACTTGTTCCCCTACTCTTTTGGTTGGTGAGACGAACAGTGAACTTATTCAGGTTCTTGAAAAACTGAAAATTTTAGGGTTTGAAAATGATTGGATGGGAGGATACTTATCCAACAGGCACTCCTACAATTGGGGTAGAATGCTTAACACATTGCATTTTCTGAATGAAGTAGGATATAGTGATGAAAAGATGGCGACTTTGTTTACAATGAACCCTGCATTCTTATTTGAAGGCTCTGGGAAGCAGATTTATGTATTGGTCGGGAAATTACTGAAGTTGGGTATTAAAATGAATGACATATACTTACTTTTCTGTCAAAATCCTAATATTCTATCTCTGAAGTGTACTAAAAATCTTTGGCATGCATTGTACTTCTTATCAGAGATAGGATTAGAGACCGAAATAATTGCAAATATTGTATCTACACATATACAACTTCTAGGTTCACATTCTCTGAAAGGACCAAAGACTCTTTTGAGGGACTTCAAGGGTGGCAAGTTTCGTCTATGTCAGACTATAAAGGATGATCCTTTGAATTTGTTCAGATTAGCTTCAAAATCAAAATTTAATGTGGAGCAAATGACTTCCCAGGACCCAGGAAAATTATTTCAGAAAACCACTTTTTTATTGAGATTAGGTTACGTAGAAAATTCAGATGAGATGGCAAAAGCTTTGAAGCAATTCCGTGGACGAGGAGACCAGTTGCAAGAGAGGTTTGATTGCCTAGTAAATGCTGGTTTGGACTGCAATGTTGTAATTAATATGATTAAACAGGCTCCTGCGGCATTGAACCAGAGCAAAGATGTTCTTGAGAAGAAAATTGTTCTACTGAAAACATATTTAGGTTATCCGGTGGAATCGATTGTATCATTTCCATCTTACCTCTGCTATGACGTGGACAGAATTCATCTTCGGTTTTCAATGTATGCATGGCTGAAGCAAAAGGGTGCTGCAAAACCAACATTATCAGTGAGCACTCTTCTTGCTTGTTCAGATGCTCGCTTTGTAAAATATTTTGTTGACATACATCCAGAAGGTCCAGCAAAGTGGGAAAGTTTAAAAAGTTCACTTCAATCCAGCTGATTGACTTCAGTATCATTTTAGATTAATAAAGTTGACATATTTCCCTTATCTAGTTGTAATTGATTATCCAATTTTGTTGTTGTTGGTTTGTCTAGGTCTTTTTTTAAATCTTTAATACGTCTCTTCTTAGGAAACACACATCACTCAATGATATTTTGAAGTGTCAGAAGGGGGATTGCTTGGGTTTTTTCCTGCTTTCATTCTGTTAAAGGACTTCTCATCCCAGTTGCTAGTTGCTACTCCCATTGCAGCCCCTTCTCTTCATGCTGTAGATGAGGGGACTCTGGATATTTTGTTAGGGTCTTTCTGACAGGACAAGAAGGTATCATGTACTGATTGAGTGATTTCATATAAAGAATCTTGTGGTAAAATCTGTCTGTTACATATCTTTAAGCTTGTAAAATAATAGATATGACCTAACACCCTAGCCATCCTTCTGATAAGCCTTGGTGGATAGAGTTGGCTGGTATCAATGCTGGTAGGAGTTAGTGGGTGCCCGATGGATTGATCGACTTGCCGCCTGGTTGGCTTGGACACCAAAGTTATGAAAAAAGTCCAAGCCACTACCCTTGAAGAAAACTGTCAGTGATGATTTTGGGTGCAATCCCTTTGTTATTTATCAGATGGCTAGTCCTTAGACCTGTATAAGAGGTTTGTTGATTCATTCAATCTTCTATTTTTTTGGTGGTGAAGTGTCTTATCCTTAATAAGGCTCAAGAATCTCTTTCTCAAGTGGGGAGGGGGATACTCTTAAGAATAAAGAAGACTATCTATTTTGTTACTATCAGTAAGTACACTTTTTTTTGGTGTGTGTATCATTCAATCATCAGTGTTACTTTTCCTTGTTTCTTTATGATAGTACAATTTCTGTTCAGCCTCTGTACGCCCCTGGTTTTTATAACGATGGGTTGGGCATTTCCTGTTTGGGATCTTCTTTTTTTTGGTAAACAAACAAATTGTGTTGATAGCAAGTGAGATAGTTACAAATCCAGCTAGGAACACATCTCCAAGCTCTCAAAGGAAAACAAAACAGTTCCACTATTCAAGCTTACAACAACAGGCTGTAGTAGCTATGGAGTCCTGGAAAACAATGCTTAGTCAAAACTACAGTCTATACATAAAGACAACAAGCAAGATAGAGCAGTCATAGTAAGCAGCTACCAATTAAGGGAGGCTTAGTATTATAGAAGCTAGTGGTGACCCCCATTTTGGCAGTTCTTGGCCTTTGATGTGTATATGCAGAGCTACCTCTCTGCATACTCTATCAATGTTGTAATGGCCTGCTTTGAATCTCAAGCCATTCCTCTCTGTCCATATGATAGCCGCAACCATAGTAAACACGCTGCACAGGATTGCTTTTTTGCCAGATTTGGACATAGCGCTCGTGTTGGCCCATAGAAGCTCCTCATTCCAGTCCCCTACAGGTCTGTTTATGCCCAGCCAGTTGAGAAGCCTTAACTACCTTGTCACTATTCACCTAAAGAATAAATGATCAAAAGACTCCACTGCTGGTTGTGCAGAAGATGCAATCCGTAAGAACCTGGATGCCGAACTTCTGAAGCCTTTCAACTGTGGCCAGTCTCCTCCAAGCAGCTAGCCGGAGGGAGGTTGAATTTTCCTGTTAGATATCAATTCTCTCAGTTTGTGTACGTGTTCCTTTTTCCCTAATGTTGATCCGAAATAATTAACTGTTCATGGTGTAAAAAGCTATGTGATTATGAAACACTACAGTTTTGGCCCCAAAACTCCTCTTTCTTGAACAGGTCATGATTTGTGGACGCAGCGCGACATATTATGTGCACTTGTTTGCTTATGACTTATGGGGAAGTTATATACTGTTTCATGCTAAACCCGTTGGAGTATATTGGTGAAATTACTTCCTTCTATGCAATTTTAGAGCTTAATTATCTTTATCCTTAAATTTACTGATATTCTAGGAAGAAATTCCAGAGAACACTGATATCAAGTTGTTCTGGTGGAATGATTTTGTAAACCAAATGCTAGATCAATTCTTCTCGTATGCAAGTCTCGGTGGACAAAATTACTAGTAACATGTACTAGTAGAGGTATCTATTGGATTGAGTGAGGTGTACAGAGACTTGCTCTAACACCGCTGTTATAAAAATAATTTCTTATTGTCTTTTTCTAATGAAAGGTAATTTCACTGCTATGCGTCAAGTTGGTGCCAAATGTTGTAGAGCAAAAGATGACTTCTATCCTACCATGTCTGAACTCTGAGAAAAAACCCTGTTAGCATCCTGGGCAACTTTCAAATCACTCAAAGTATATAGAAGCTGTAATGCTTTGTATTTTACATATGGTTAGGGCTGACAATTGCTTCCAAAACACCTTAATTTCTATTTTACAAATTGTCAAAAAAATACAGACACAATCGTTGCAATATATAACCATCTGTTGAGGAACTTGTGAGATCATATTTAACTTGAACTTGTATTGTAGTTCGAGAAGAACAGATAAAGAGGAAGTAGTGGTGAGAGATGAGGCAGAATAAGCCCCACAAGATACAAGTTGTCTCTTTCAAAGATAAAGTTTACATGAAAATGATCAGCAGCTCAACATAAACGCCATATTCTGCAACAAGAAATGACTATTAGTCTCAAAAGTTTATCTGCTGGAAACAAAGAGATGACCCAAATATCTCTACATAGTAATAAAATACGATAGATTCTCCATACACGAATCATTTGTACATCTTTAATATTTCCGCAAGTTTGTTCTTATGCAACTTTATTTCTACTATAAACAAGCAAACTTAACAATACGAACTATAAAAATGGTCAACGATAGAGCAGCCACTATAATGAAAATTTTATAAGATAAGTGTTTTGAAGACTACTTATCTTAGATACAAAACTGAGTCTAAGGATGTAGGATAAAACCTAGTTACTATCATAGGTTCCTAGCTTTGACACTTGCACCGTCGTTAAAAGTTGTGGAAGATGATGAGGAAGACGAGCCAGAGCGGTGAAGTCCAGCCTTGTCTTTATTAAATGCCCTTTGAACATCATCTTTGAGCTCCTTAAATCGCCTCCGCTTGATCTTTTGTTCCTCTGGAGTGCCCTTTTCAAGGAAAAATAAGTCTGGTAAGTCATCCTCCATAAACTTATCCAGAACTTCGGAGCAATGAGGAAAGTAGCATTTGCCCAGCTCAACTGCAACCATGATTTAGAAAAATAATGAGAAGAGCTTGAAAACACAATTCTGAAATTCTCAATTCATACTGGAACCGATGTGCAAACAGGAAAATGATAAAGGAAAATATAAACCTACTGAAGGAAGTTAGCAGTAAATACAGGGAAGTTTTATGCCATGTTTCCAGCAACATTCAGTAGTGAGCTGGAACATTGCAAAACCAGTTACATGACAGGCTTAAATGACCAAGGGACTCCAAGCACAAAGACATGTATCATGAATAAAAGACAGCAAACTAGTGAGCTGCACTTGGAAAGTGAGGCATAGCATAGTCCATAGGACCCTCAACCTCTAACCAACGATCTTGGGGGTGTAATACACCATGAGAGCACCACCATTGACTCCTGGACAGAGTGTGTTTAGGGTTGGGGTTAACCATATAGAAGAAAATAATAATGAGCTACTAACTTGTTTTATCTCGTTGATTCTTCTCTATGGAAGACTCTACCTATTTCACTTTTTTCTTCTTCACACTATGTCTAGAAACTAGGGAAGGAAGAAGATAAGATAAAAGAACATATTTGGGAATAGAGAAAGAACAGTTGGTCCAAACAAAAACTTCTCTTTCACTTTCTGTACTAAAACAAACAATAGAAGGGGAAATTTTGCGCCTTTCCCCTCATTTTCTTCCTACAATTTGTAAACAACAACTTAGGTGTTTGCCAATCTTCTTTTGGAAGGGGCAGACTTCAACATACTTGAGGATAAAGAGGTCCAAACAGGTGATGACCTATACAGAGAACTACAAACCTGGTGTTGCCCTTCTTGCTTCTTCTTAATTACCGTAAATGTTCAAGGGAGGGAAAAGACCAACAGTAAGAGAGAGACAATTTTGCAACAGAAGATGTGGCGAGAAAGTAGGATAAGAAGTCATTATTTGCCATCTTTTTCTAAAAAAACATTACAATTTGTAGTTCGAATTTCCACTATATATAGTCATACTTACAGGCATGCCATATACATGTTACCAATTATATATGTAATCATTCTTTCAAGTCAGAAGGGTATTATTTGATGAAAAAGAAAATTGCACATAAAGTGACACACGTCATGTAGGAGGTTGGCAAAAACCCTACACACATGCACATATTTATTATTTTATCATCCTGGAAATTCAGGGATTTAAATTCAATTGTTAATGCTACAGAATAAACCAAAAGTTATTTACATTCTTTTTTTATCTTTCGTTTCCTCTTTTGGGAGAAAAGGAGGAAGTAAGCAGAAAATGAGTTGTCTAGATGCTCTTCATGTCAAGTAAATGGCTACTGATTAGATGATGATGATATTAGAAATAAATAGGAAATCTGGTGCATGTAAGATGAAATTAATCAATAGACTGGCTATCAGGGGATACCTGTCTTCGAGAGTCTTTCTTTCTGCATTATGGGTGTCTCATTCAGATCAACCTCCCTCAAAATTCCAGATGAAGCTTTAGATGCCAAATGATCCGCGAATTCAGCTGTTGTTTCAGCAGTTGCAATTTCCATGGCTAGTTTGGCTTCAAGAGGGAACAATAATCGTGCAAATGCCACTGTATTACAAAAGCCGTCATTAGGACCACAACAGATTCATCAGAATTGAGTGAAGAAACCAAGTCAAGTTTTGACAGAATAGTATCGTACATAACAGAAACACACACTGGTAAATGATAACATCATGGCTTCATTCCAAGTCATCATATAATACAAAAATTACTTGGGTGTGTATGTGTGTTATGTTTGTTTATATTTCTTTTTTATTTTATTTTTTTTGGCTTTCAGCTGGATTAGTTAGTATACCCTAAATTCCCTCATACTTCCAGTGTGGCATAAACTGTTACCGCGACCAGCCTGATTGTCCAAAAAATGATAGAACTGTAGTTCCTGTACCAAAACTTGGCCACATAGAGATCCTCTCGTAGATTTAGAAAAAGCTAATACAAAAGTCTATTAACCGGGTCTGAGAGTCTACTAATCAACAACATATCCTGGTGCAAATAGGCCAACACTTTAATGCTTTCAACATTAACAGTCAAGGTTGCCCTACAAATTCAAAGGATACCCTCTTCGGAGATTCCCGATTTGAGATCATGATCTAATGATATGAAATGCTTAAATCTTGATTACGTAACTACTAAATGAACAAAGTTCTGTAGGACCACTGATTCTTTCTTAGTATGAACTTTCGACCAAAGAAGCCAAGCTTTCAGAACTGGAAGACTAGAAGTTGCGTGGGCCTTGATTGGTAAAAAGAGGAAAACCAAGCATATTATAAAAGGTACCTCTGTTTTCCAGGTAGAGCAGTTTCATCGGCAGATCATCGGCCAACATGGGGGAAGAAAATAATGCATCTCCAGTCATTGGGTTGCGACGCATCTCTCTCTCCAAAACATCAATACATACCCGATCTTTGTTTGCTTCCTGCCCTTGTTCTGTTTTTGCATGGTACTCCTTAGGCCTAGTCAGCCTCCTACAGAGACTAACAGCACTCTGCCCATCCAATGTAATTTCTGATGCATGAGCTCCCTTAGTTAAAAGTGATACAATGATTGAGGGTTCCTTACGCATGGCAGCAATGTGAAGCACAGTGTAACCACGTGCATTCCGAAGGTTGACATTAGCAACACCCAGTCCAAGAACCTCAGCAACAACCTTGGGGTCACAATATGCAACAGCATAATGAAGAGCGTAGGCTCCATCTAAACTTATGTCAGACTCATTAAGTAAAAGCTTGACAAGTTCAACATCATCCGAATCCAATGCCTTGTATATCCTATTTTTTCTCTTTTCATGCAACGGATCCACGGTTAGAACCATACTTTCATCACCCTGACATTTCAGCCGCGATAACTTAATACTCTCTGCAACTTTAAAGGGAACCTCCTTCTCAATACATGTGCTTTCAAGATCTGATCGCGCTACTCTATCAACGCAATGAGTGAGAAGCTCACTCATTTGGCAATGGAAAGCAACTCCAAGTATTGGGATAACATCTTCCACAAGAGCCTTGCCAACAAAACTGAATAGGTGTCGCTGCAATTATACGAGCTAGTGTCAGCAGAACGTTCTCTTGGTTGTTGCTACAAATTCCTATATATTTTAAACAAACAGATCCATCTTTCATGAAACTGGAAGCAGCCATAGTAATGCATGCAGATCTAAAAAGGCTACCGCAGAGACCACTACCGTCAAAACTTAAACGGACCATGATGTCCGCCTGCCTAAAACAAAATTATTAGATATGTATTCTAAACTTAAAACATATCAATAAACTTTATCATAGACAAATCAAATGTACTGCATAGTAAAATCGTTGAGTATCCAAAGGTTATGTCCATGGATGTGTAGGAGATATTCCATGTCAACTTCACCAGGTCCTGTTTAAAACAAACGAAGAACTACTTTTCTCCTATTGACCGCTATTAACTGAAAATAAATCATGATGTAAGAAGCGACTAAGGTTCGGGTTCACATAACAATGGTATTGCAGTGTATGACAGTGCAGAATCTTCACTACCTGGATGCACTTTCATATGATTAATGCATTGAATTTTTCTTTCTTTGACACTTCAACAAAGTTTAGAAGAAAAAATCATTTCAAAACAAAAAACTCACATAGAGATTTCATAATATGATCTAATTATCTTTTATTTAGATACACGAATAACACTTTGCATTCGTCCTTGTTAGCTTGAATCACAATGCACTCTACAAAAGCCACTTGAAATGTAAATTAATCAGTAAAAAGCATGTTACCTACCAGAAAAAGTGACACCAGCTCTGGAACCTGAAAGACAAAAGAGGCATACATCAACTCAACATGAAAGTTGATTGCTGGTCTGCAAGAGTCATGGGAACATAAACTGTTGACACACGTTGATGCCTCTGGAGGGAAATGCTTCAATTTTCCCGAGTACAAATAGCTTAAGAAAGTAAGGAAAGCCTCATATCCAACCTTACCACAAGGCAATATATCAATCATAGAGTAACTTGGCTTACCTTCCTTTCCACAATTTCCGTTTCTTTTCCTAAAAAGATCCCTAAAAAAACTACTCCTCGCAGCTAATATACAACGATGAACACCGAGTGAAACACCCTCAACAACAATCTCAGCATCACTAAACTCAGAGCTGGAATCTAACAATAGTTGCTCTAAATTATTACTGAGTTTACTTAAGCTGATGATTTCATAACTACTCCCTGTCTCAGATCCACCACAGGCACATGTGTTTTGGCCTATGCCAATGGACCCATTCGACGTGTTGGAAGTTGAAGTAAAGCTTATAGAAGATGATGGTTCAGCAGAACTTGCCATTTTCACAATTGTATAAGCTAAAAATACACAAATATTATCTACATCTAAGATAGTCAAACTCCAAGAAAATCAAAAGTCCCCACACAGTCTCTATGCACAAAAAGAACCTCTCCAAAACCTTAATCAATCACCAATACAAGAAATTCTTCCTTTCTCCTCACATTCAACAACGAAGATGAAGAAACGAAGCAAATTCCAAAACTAAAACTCAAATTCTCCCAATTTCAGTTACAACCAAATCAACCCTTGAGCAGAAACTAATAACTCCACCGTATCTACCATCAGCTAAACTTCAATTTCACAGTAAAAATAGTATCTTTTTCAAGAATACAACATGCAAATTTTCAACAGCTTGATCACAACTTACACAAATGAAAATTCTACCAACTAATAACCCTTCAACTACTTGATCACAACTTACCGAAATGGAATAACATTCATACCAGCCAAGACAACCAAAAATATTTCCAATTGCAGAGCAAAAAAACCCTGTTTTTGTTAATTCTCAAATTAGATCCGATTAACAATCACAAAAGATTAAAGGATTAGAATTCAAGAAAATTTGTCCTTAGTTACTTTAAGAAGACAACAAAGTGGACCCACGTGTCTCAGCGAAGTTTCCTCAAAGGCGGAAGAGTATACCGAGTTGAAATATATACAGTAGTTATAAATATTACTAGAAGCAGCTTTTACCCCTAAATTTAATTTAATCGAGCTTTAATTCAATAAAAAACTATAGAAAATGAGATAATTTCAAAATTGCCAAAATATGATATTAATCTATACACATTATTTTTGTTGGCTTTTGTTTCTTACTGAGTTGTTTTTAAGTTAACTTTCCCCAAAAGTGATTTTCTTTTGCTTTTTTCTTATCCGTGTCCAAAGTATTACATCTTCGACTAAAATTTGTGTCAAGCAGTGCTAGACCTATTTGGTTTGGTGCTTCGAACATAATTTTTATTTTATATTTAAAATTTAAATTTAATATTATTTCAAAATTTATTTTTACACCAGTTAATGTGAACGGTGTGGTGTCGGTAAGAGGCTGAAGTAGTTCAGCTGACGAAGCAAATGCTGTCGCCACTCTTTGTGGGTCTTGAACACGTAATGGATTCCGTAATTTTTTGGGTTTAGAAATTTTGTTCATTTATTTTTCATTAAAAAACATTTTAGAAAGTGAAAAGAAACTTATAGTGGAATAAAGAATCTTGACTTAATGTGAGTGATTGAGTATAAATGATTTTTTCTTTCTTTATACCGACCTCTTTTATTTCATTACACTTTTTGACTTTCTTTGTACGAGTATATATCGGTGGATTTAAAATTTATAATTTAAATTATATTATAATTAATTTTAAATATTATTATTAATTAAGTTTTGAATATATTTGTGTATATATATATAGTGAAGTTTACCGTCATAGAAAATTAGAAATGCATAATTTAAGATAAATCTATTAGATTTGACTGTTTCAGCTCTGTGTGGAGTAGTTGTTTGCTGTCTTTATATTTAATTACTTGTAAAAAAAAAAATGATGACGTCTTCTCCTTAAGACATCAAAGTGACATGTTTTTGTCATGAATTACATAAAAAAAATGGATGCCATGCAGAAATAAAATATAAAACTAGAGTATAATCTCTATGATCTTATTCAGACATGAATAGATTCTTTGGGCTTGAAAAATTTATAAGGGGTAAGTAGCGAAAATGAGGATAATATAATCGTTATATACTAGGTCGATTATAGGTATCAGATAAAAATGAAGATAATATAATCGTTATTTACTAGGTCGATTAGTAAATTGTAAATTTGCTTAAATTGTAAAATTTGTATGATGGTATAAATTAAAATGTCGTATAATTTGGGTTCAGAATTGTATAAATTCAAAATTTGTATATGCTTACTTTAGCTAATTGTACACGATTTATGAAAAAATACGATAATTTATTATGTTTGTATATCGACAAGCGAAATATACAAATAGAGTTCTAAAAAAATCTTAAATGTATCAATACAAAATTTGGTGTATATCTACCGTATTTATATATTTACAAGTAAAGTTTACAAATGAGCTATCAAAATATACAAACAACAACCTCTATAACAAATAGAACTATTGCTATAGAGTGCAATAATCAAAACTATCCATTCAATCCTTATTATATTATTTCTGAAATTTTCTCAAATACTCACTTTATTTGTTTTGAAAGGACAAATTCAAACCTTTCGTTTATAATTGAGGAAATTAACAAAATTGACCCTTTCTTCCTACGTAAATAAAAGTAAAGTCTACACCACAAATTAATGCAAAGAGGTGGTCAAAGGGTGCAACATGTATGAACAAAAGAAAAAATAAATATAAGCCGCTCACAACTCCTAATTAACAGAAATTCAATCATTTCATGGTGTAAAATTCAACAAACAAAAGAGCAAAATAATGCAAGCCATATATTCCATTTTTTTACCTCCTATATACTTTTACCTCTTTTATCATTTCAAACTTCACCCAGAGAAGACCATATTTTTTTCTAACTAATAGAGAAAAAAAAATGGCTAATAGAAATGGTGTTGCTTTGTCATTGGTCTCTCTGGCCTTTGTTTTATTTGCATCATCCCAAATAAATGCACAAGTTGATCCAGCAATAGCCAAAGTAAGCCCATATTGTGTAAAAGCAATGGACAAGCCCTTTTGTACAGAAGTTGTTAAAGTAGCTGACACATGGCAAGAAGCTATAACAGAAGTGTTATCAGAAACAATTATGCAAACTAAATTGGCAGAGCCAATCATGGCTAGTTTATTAACATCATTGACACCTAGTGATGCTAAATTAAAAGATGAAATTGGTACTGGATGCAAAAAATCATATAATGATGCACTTGAGACATTGAAAGAAATTGAAGAGTTGTTGAAAACAGGTGACAAGACAAAAAGTGCTAACATTAAGTTTTCATCAGCAATGTCAAGATTGGATGATTGTGAGGATGAATTCAAGAAAGTACAAATGCCTATTGAATTTGCTACTTTTTATCAAGGTAGTAAGAAATTACTTAGCACTTGTTTGGCTGTTGAAAGGACCAGGCCTGATCTTCTTAATTAAATTCAATAATAGTACTATGTAATTACCATTTCTTTAAATGCTCAATCGAGATATACATATGTGTATTGCGAATTTTGTTTGACCATGAACGAAATTTATCATATGTAATCTCATCGCGCGATGAATAAATGTTTTGTTTCACTTTTACCTTGGATTATCAAGATTCAAGAGGCTAAGTATATATATATCTATATAATTCTCTTGTGTGGGCATCTTAACAAGACATGATACACATCTAATATACACTAAAGTTAGCTTACAATAACAAGTTTTTCTACTATCGAAGGGTTTAGTGATATTAGATTAAAAAGTTTCTCCTTCCTTAATTTGAGTTCTACGAATTGAGTTTTCTTTGATGTATAACTCTAAAACCTCGTACTATATACTGCAAATTTTTGCATATCAATACATCTTAAAATATCAGTCAAAGTTCTTATAATTAGACTCTAAAAATAGAAATCATGACAATTAAAAGTGGACGGAGGGAGTAAATGAATAGATTAATTTCACAATTGATAGTTATAAATAGTACAAGTTGGCCCTTCTATTTTGGATTTTCCTTAAAAATATGTCTCTTGTACTGATTGGGTCAAAACTAACACTTAATTAGTACTAGACAAAATTTAATTAAGGGAGTACAAATATTGTTTGGAAAACGCTATTACCCTTCATGGAGCAAGTAATATATAGTAACAACTATAATTTCACAACTATATATAAAAGTATGAAACATTTAGTTTTAATAACAACTACTCCATATGACAATTATTAATAGACGAGAATATGTTTCATTTAATTGTATAGTTTCTCCTATTAAAAGCGTTATATATCCACATTAGGAAAACTTCCAAGAAGTTGTTGAGCTGTCCCATTAGAATTTATTGAGCACAGAAATGTCATAGAAAAATTGAGATAAAATGCAATAATGATATGAAAAGGGGACTTAATAATAAATACGAAAAGAAGACCTATCAATGTGAAATTTGACCAAACTGAATATGGGCAAATGATCAATTACATGTAGAAGAATATGGGTAACTTAGCCATGGTTTAAGACATATGCATAAAGATAAGTAGTTATCCATTCAAAAAAATAATAATATAAATATTGGTTGAATAGTTAAATGTGTAATGTTTTCGAATAAAATAAATAAAAGAGTGTTTTTTTCTTTGTAATAACTTAAATATTTAAATGATTTCATCAAATGTTAAAATAGATAAAAGACGTGCATTCATTATTAATTTGTTTTTTTTTTAATGCAAAGACATTTTAAAGATGTAATTATACTTTGTTAACGTGCTTAAATGGATGTTTGAAGGAAAAAGTATGAGGATTTATTAGAAGATAGAGAACATTATTAATGGGCAACTTTCATATATAGCAAACATAAAAAGGAAAAAAGATAAATATACCTTTGAACTATCGTAAATGGTATGTAGATACCCTTTGGGATATTAGTGCCCCTGCTGTATAAAAACTAGAGCGTATATGCCCTTCAATCTAACGGAAAACTAAATAAGGACACATGACACAATCTTATCCATCGATCGGATGTCGGATCGATGGATAAGATTATGACACGTGTATTTCCGTTAGTATAAAGGGCACAAATGTCCCTAAAGTATGACGGAGGGTATCCACATACCATTTACGATAGTTCGGGGGTATTTCTATCCTTTTCCCAACATAAAATTCATATTTGTATTCTATAGCAAAGTTTGCATGATTGCACTCCATAACGAATTGTATAAAACAAATTATATAAATTATATACAATTTGAATTTGTATAAAACGAGAAAGAGAGAAAGGTAAAAGAGACTTGGGCATAGAATATACAATTGAATCAAATTGTATAAAACGAGAAAGAGAGAAATTATATACAATTTGAATTTGTATAA